AGTCATCCCCGTCTTCGTCCTCATCCGGAAGAGGAATGATCTTCGGCTTGTTGGTAGAGTGCGCCTCTGCCTTGGATCGAACAACACTGAAACCGAAGTAAGGCATGTTGGATAGTATATGTATTAGTGTACTTACTCTTCCATGGCCACGATACCTTCCTTCGGTTGGATTACGTCCCCAATTGCCCATGTTTCTATCTGTTGGAGAAATTCAGTCAACATATTTGCTACTTCACAGAAGGCGCACGCGCCTTGATAAACTTGTACAAGTTTCGTGGTCTTGTGTGCGAGTTCCGACGCCCGGCCGTCGCGAACTTTGACTTGCTTTGCATCTCTGGCAAAGAATTCGTGCGCGAGTTCGTGCTGGACACCAGAGGTAACGAAGTAGTCCCGGTGCGCTGACACCTTAGCACGACATCATTGAACACCACAAGCCACAAGTCCTTCTTCCCTCCTATACCAGAGCCCGTCCCCAGAACATCGCTCAGCCGCCGGAACGAAGTCTTACCCTTGACGTTCTTGGTAGCCATTACCGGCGGTGGACTGGATCCTTTAAGCGATGCGGCTGAAATGGACCCATCCCGAGCAACATGAATTTGCCTCTCCTCCAGAAGCAACCTAGAGGGTTTCGGAATCGCTAGCTGCTTCACCTTATCGAGTCCCTCGATACGCGCGAAGACATCCCTCGTTTTATCACGGTCCTCTTTCTGGATTTTCTCGTCCTCGATACTTCGGACGATCGTCTCCACTTCAGCGACCATCTGGAGAGTGCTTTCATATTCGAACGTACTTGGGTCGGTGTGGAAGAGGAGGTTTTGAAAGAGGAGAGGATACTTGAGTAGGCGCTGAAACGGCTTCGAGAGTGTGATGGCAAGTCCAGTCTCGCCTTTCTCGGCGGCGAGCTCTTCAAGGCGCTGCAAGGCCTTGCACACTCTGAACCAATCAGCAGCGTCCTGGTTTTTAGGCTTCTTGGCAGCACTGGCAGTGGAGAGGGCATTGTCAACCTGCTCAAGCGCACGCTCGAGGTGGAGGACGTAGGTTGCGTAACCTTGGAAAATATGGGACTGTAGGAAATCAACACGTGGACAAGGTTTCATAGTAACAGAAAACGTACATTCGACACGAAGACGTCTGCAAGCGATCGCACGAGTGGATATTGTTCGTCATAACGTTTTTTCAATCCTTCGCTGAGCTTGACATGACCATCTAGGACGCCACTCTCGATGACCTCAAGACATGTTCGCAAGTCCTCAGGGATGAGATGCGGAGGAACAGCGCCTTGCAGCAAGCCATCCGGTTGCGTTTGTGACCGTTTAGGCTTGCGCAGCACACGGCTGTGCAGTGTCGGCGTCGTCTTCGAACTGTCCTTCCGTTCCCTATCTCTGTCTCGCTCACGATCACGCTCGGCAACAGACTGGCGTCCCAGCGAGTGCGAAGACGCGTTGGCCTGGTTCATGCGCTGTTGAGGGGACAGGGATGCATGCGACCGCGATGGGAACGGCACCGATTCCTTGATCTTGCCATTCTTACCCCCCATGGCTGATCCGGTACGATACGGTGAACGAGGATGGTTGTGCTTCGAAGTCTGATTTGTACGATTGGATTGCAAACCATGGAGCCGGTCTCCTTCATCGTCCATGTCCGACTCGGCCGACTCGTCATCGATGTTTGGTGTGGTCGGCGCGAGAGACTTGGTTTCCGGGGTAAGAGCAGAGGCGCCCTCGGAGCGGAAACCTGTGGGAGACATGAAACGTGCAGCGATGGGGAGTACATCGATGGACTCTTGGGGTGAGCCCAGTCGGCCAGGTGCAGATATGTAATCGTCATACTCGAAGAGTGTGGGGGACGTAGGAGGTGGCGTAGCATAGGGATGGAGGAGTGGCTCGATGAAGGTATCTTTCATTTTCTGGAGATCGTTGACGTACCTGGGTTGTGTAAGAATGACAAATGAGATGTGCATGCTGCGCGATTAGGAGATTGGAGACGTACCGTTCCTCGCTGGCGACGATCTCCCACAAAACTTCCTGTCTGGTCCGCTCGCGCGGACCAAGGTTACTCACGAGATCCTCCTCTGCACCCTCACTCCACGAGGTGACAGCGAGGATCCGTGTGCTGGTGTTCGACATTTGAGAATAGGGTGTCGCAGAGCGCACAGAACCAGGGTACGGCGATACAACAGTCCGCGTTGATGTTGCTTTGGCAGAGTAATTTTGAGCTGCGGGGGGCGCGAGTGTGGTGGAGGTAGCGCCGGTGCTCGTGGTGTTGGTGGTCGTGGTTGATTTGGAACCTAAGTCTGTACGTGAGGACGATGCGGCAGTTGAAGTAGAGCCACGCGTGTCCTTGCCATGTGTTGCCTGAAAACGTGAGACGGTCGTTTTGAGCAGAGCACTGGCAGGCGCTTGAGACGGCGATCCGGCGGTGTCTGGAAGGGGCTGTGTGGTTGAGGGTCCTGATGGGGTCGGTGGTGGAGAGATGAATGCAACTTTTTTCTGAATGTCTACATTGGTTGCATTGACAGTGACAGAGCCATCGACGGCCTTGCGAGAGCTGGACTTGATTGCTGGGGTTGCCGGATCTGCAGGGGATGGGACGAGGGCAGACACAGGGAGACCCACACCGCTGTCGTTGTCAGCATCGTTTGGTTCCTCAATTGGAGGAAGAGGACGAGCGGTGAGATCCGGTAAGGGTTTCGTGGAGGAAAGGGAGGAGGGGGTGCCCGCACTTGTTCCGGTAGTCCCGGCACTAGCAGACCTCTGGATCTGACTGGGAACAAGACTAGGCGCATGGGAATGACGGTCGTGCCTGTTCTCCGTGCGAGAATGCGAAGGCGGCCATTCAGGGAGGGGGGGAAGCTGTACGAGCTCCCTCTTCTCTCGGGAGGGTGGGGTGGTATTCGGAGAATGGGTGTTGGAATTCGCAGACGAGCTAAGGGTATTGGTATCACTGCGGTCGCGGTCACGGGTAATGACAGAGTCTTTGTCCTTGTCTCGTTCTCTGTCCCTATCCCTGTCCCTGTCCTTGTCTTTGTCCTTGTCCTTGGGGTCTTTTGAAAGGCCTCTGTTGAGCCTGTTGAATAAGGCTTTCATGGCCTCCAGGCCGAGTTACTAGTCGGAAAGAGATGGAGAAAAGGGTCGGTGGTGGATGTATTCAGTGGAGAGGAAGGAGACGACAACGTGGTGGAAGCGCCTGCGATGGAGATGGGACGTTGGGCACAATTAGTGGTAGCTCAGAGGTAATCCGAAAGTGAGAAGAACGAAGCGAATCCAGTTCCGCGCTAATCCCAGCTTGAGTGTGAGGCTGGGGTCGAGAAGACTGGTTCACCTGCTGAAATTCCGTCGCAACTCTCGCGAGATTATTCTCGCAGCACCATCGCCGAAAACCTCAACGTCAACAAAACAACAACCGAACACAACTGCTGCTATGCTACGCGGTTACTCCAACTCTCACGACAAAAAACATACATATCAAAAACTCATCACAAAACATTCCTTTCTTTGCTCGCTTCTTCGTCTCCCAAACCCTCGGATTTGATCTTGTTGACAACCTTCTTTCCTCGTGTTATTCCACTGGTAAGGTCGTGTTCCTCTTATCATAAGGTTATCGTTCACCTCGTGTCCATTGCTTCATTCAGGAAACATCCATATCAGTCCAGATCTGACCCCCTCGTGTATTCACCACGCGTGCCAGCTTGGCTTTCATGTCTGACGCACTCTATGGACGGTCCCTTCCTGCCCATCACACAAAACACCTGTCTACACTCACGTATACTTCCAATGGTCATACCTTCCACCTTGACCAGAGGGACGACGGTATTAGCAATGGCACCGCCCTCTGGCTCGGAGGGCAGGTCCTCTCCGCGTATCTAGTCAATGAACTGAAAGGCTCCCGTGTACGCGCACGGGTTGGTGAACAAAGACGTCCACGGGCCGTGGAGCTGGGCAGCGGGATAGGCCTCACGGCGTGCGTGTGCCTTTGCTCTCCCCCAACACTGCTGGCTAGCTGAACTCGTTCTCTCCACGGATCGTTGCCATTCATACCCGAAAATCAACTCACGGCTCCACCCAATGGCGTCACCATTCATTGTATGTGATACAATTGGATGATTGATGAATCAATTACTCCTCGATCACGGAAATAGCCTTGTGCTATGTTCGCTCGGATACGACGTCCTTGCTACTGACGCCGCTCACGTATGCGATTCCGTACTGAGGCGCAACATCGCAGCGAATTTACAGCATCTCCCCAGTAACGCTGGAACGATCCAAGTTCGTGTATTGGACTGGAACATCGACAGTGATAGGTGGCAGTGGGACCATCCAATGCGAATTACTCCGGACGAAAATTCTTCAAATCAAGATGGCGCAACGGAGAATTCGCTCGGTCCACCCTTCGATCTCATTATATCCAGCGACACGATCTACGATGCATCACTCATTGATCCGTTTTTCCGCACTGTGCGCGCTCTATCTACATTTAGCTTGCCCGGACAGACTCTTATACCCCCTCTATTCCTTCTTGCTCTTGAGCGACGTGATCCGCAACTCGTCGATAATGCCCTGTCACACGCCCCAGTGTCGCTGACTCGAGTACCAACAAAAAAGCTCAGAAAGGCACTCGAACGGGCAGGTATGTTGTGGGATGCAGTCGATTGGGAAGGTGTTGAGGTCTGGAGGGGTTCGTCTGAGTCCAGGTAGGAACGCAGTGTGATGTACTCCTGTTGAGGGGTAGAACTCTGCCCGTCGTCTATCAATGGACTGCACAGGGTCTGGAATACACGCACCATTAGGGGACCTTACCGAGCCACTGCCCCTCCTTTGTTCAAGGAAACATCACGGCGGTTGCGCGTTCTTGAAAGAAAATATGTTCAAGAAATGAGATATGGTGTAACGGCTAACATGGCTGTCTTTTGTAGAAATATTAGACCCTTAGTATGTGACTGCCTCAGCGAGGGACTTGGTCAACTATGCATACTTACAGCTCAAGAAACAAGCGTTTTCAGATCGGATATGGTGTAACGGCTAACATGGCTGTCTTTCACCTGATTACGTCAGCAGATCACAGCAGCCCCGGGTTCGACTCCCGGTATCCGAACTTTTTGCCTCTCTTTCTTTGGCCGCTTTTGCGACATGCTGAACATCATGATCATCTAAGTATGCACAAACCTCTCCGGTCCATGCTTGTTTCTTGAGTCCTAAGTATGTGTGGTTGACCGCGTCCAAACAACCCTTAGTCTTACGAGGAATTAGGCGATGGGTGTCCCCCATCCTGAGGGTGCTGGTAATGGGTCGCATAGGTTTCAGCATTGGTCTTTCAGGCTTTGGTGTAGAGCACCATGGTCTGAACTGAAGGGGGGAAAGAAGGGTGAAGGGGTGAAACAAGGACGGTCATCCTTTTATAATCTGCAGGATACCGACAAGTTGAGGGTACGTCATCGCTCGATGACGCAGAAGTTGCGAGTTGGTCGGTGAGCGAGGCATGTCCTCAAAAGGAAATATGCCACATGGGGTCCAAAAACGAAATGCGATGACTATCAGACTGGCAAATGCAATTACTATCGAACTGGCATCAGATAAAGGTGGTGGAACGCAAAGACAAAGGGAAGGTGAATTGTTGCGTCAGCTTCGTGAAAGTTACCAGTGCAGACGCGGTGATACTCATTGTACTGTAACTGGGACGTGGCTGTGCTACATTAATCGCATTGGACCCAAACCAAATACATAGCCTCATGTCTTACAGAAGCAACCTGGCTTGAATGAAATGACGCAGTTCCACTGGCAGGTTGCGTTGATAGGCTGTAAGCTTAGTGAATGTATTTCCAAGAAAAATAGTATGCGCAAGGAAACGGATGCTGAAATAAGGACAAAGGCCTGATGAACACACAGTCAACTGAAGACAAATCATGGGATGGTGTTAACGTTGCAAGCTGTTGGTCGCTGCCGTGCGTTGGCCTTGTTGTCGTTGGACATAGGGTTGATTGCCGATGCTTGCCGAAACCCGGGGTTGTGGCTGTGTTAAAGTACAAGCTGAGGTGACGCGTCCCGAGCTGTGCACTGTACAATTATAAGCCCACACCCTTTGAAGGCCACCTTGAAATTGTCCTCCCCCACCACATTCCAGCCCTCCACATCCTTCTCTCCACTTTTAAGCGACCTCGTAGTAAGTTTTATTGTCTACTGTTCCCTCCAACCCCTCCTCATCTCCAGCTCAACGTATCTACAGTTTTCTGTCCACCACGTCATGGCCCCCAAGAAACGTTGCCAACTGCAAGCTGAAACCCCCTGCAATTCTGCAGTTTTGCGCATAGTCGGCCAATGCCCACATTGTCGAGTTGAATTCTGCGGCGCAGTATGTCAATAAGACCTTCTTCTATTCTCGTGTGACTCATACAATATTTGTTCGCAGCACCGTCTTCCAGAGCATCACAACTGCAACAAGCTCGAGGATTGCCGGCAGCAGGCCTTTGAGAGAAACAAAGCGAAGCTCGAGAGCGAACGGACTGTGGCCTCTAAGATGGCAACGGCATGACGGTCCCCCGGTTTTGTCTCTGTCTCTGTCTCCCTTCCATCATGCATCCGTGGTTTCCGTGGCATCATACCGCTATCTATTTCACTGTGATCTTGTCCTAACACATTTACTATCTATTACGCTTCCACACCTTGTCATAACACATACATCGCCATTGCCATTGTTGTGACAGGATCCACCCTCCTACAGGTATGCCATCCTAGATTGGCTTAGGACGACGGACACGGCCTTTACTTTTCGTTGTGGTCTTATATTTGTTTATATAGAACACTTTTCATATACTGGCCACGAAGTGCACCGTTTACGAGATGGTCTAAGATTGCGTCGGCAGATTTTCATGACAACTGCATTGACGATAGGAGGAAGAGCGGAGGAAAGCGGTTGTTGAACGGAGCATAATGCATATATTATGGCCCACGAGGCAGGACATATTGCTGACATGGCTGGCATGATAAACACGTCGAGGATTCGAAAGGGCGAACTTGAAGAGGTGTATCCAGTACTAGTGATCCTGAGATTGGGCTCGATCAAGGCATCGCGTATGATCGCAGAATAAATGGTTGTATTTCGGCGATACGTAGCGATACGTTCAGTGCAACCAGCGAAATGACACCTGGCGCAGGGCCCATCAGTCAGCTGGTGAGCTGGCCATGGGTTTTCTGAGGGCAAGCCGTGTTCACCCGTCCTGTCTCCATCGTGCTGTGTACATAAACAAGTCGGATTTAGCCTCCTGTGATCTTCTCGACGAGTACTTAATCTCATAATCGCAGTTCCCTAGCACTGCAGTTTCCTCTCCTCTCCTCCTACCTACTCTCTGGTAAGTGCCGATTCCAACTCGTCGCCTTATCAGAATCAGAAAAACACCCGCAAGACGGGTAATGTCCTGCGCTACATCCAAATCACATGTGTTGAGGATGCTAGATCTGTCACATGCTAGATCTTCAAAGCTTCACCGGCCTCGTTTCTAACGCTTCCACTACTTACCTCCATGACTTCCAGGCTTCAACAAGTCTATCAACACCTCTCCAATCCTATCAATATGTCAGGCGGTTAGTGTTGATTTGCTGACAAGTAGCACGTTCGCTCATTCCATCGTGCAGAACTTTGGGAGGGCGTCCCCCTTGCACCACCGGATAGGTGTGTGTGCCGTCCCCAGTGCCCTTTATGTCTACTAATCACAGTTGGCAGTATTTTCAAGCTTTCAGCTGCCTACAATGCCGATCCATACCTGAAAAAGATCAATCTCGGCGTGGGAGCCTATAGAGATGACGATGGCAAACCCTGGGTACTTCCTGTCATTAAAAAGGTGTGTATGATGATGTCTACGTACACTGATCGTGCCACTGACGACTCACCGATCATTACCGTCCTTTGCAGGCATCGCAAACGCTGTTGAATGACCCCAACCTCAATCACGAATACCTCCCTATCACTGGGCTGCCAGAGTTTACCGCGCCCGCCGCGAAACTCGTGCTTGGTCCTAACTCATCTGCTCTAGCCGAAGGACGCGTCGTCAGTGTTCAGACTATTTCCGGCACAGGAGCCAATCACCTTGCCGCAGTGTTCCTGAGCAAGTATTACAATTTCAACGGAACGAAACAGATCTACTTGAGCAACCCTACGTGGGGTGAGTCGACTCTAATATTTCACATACCGCTCTCAAGTTTGCGCAGTGATCCACCACACCATTTTCAAAAATGCTGGGATGACACCCATCGAGTACCCGTATTACGACCCTCGCACCATTGGTTTAGATTTTGAGGGTTTCAAGTCGACTGTAGAGAACGCCGTGCCACGCTCGGTGATCTTGCTGCATGCATGCGCACATAACCCCACTGGAGTGGATCCTACCAGGGAGCAGTGGAAGGAACTCGCCGAGGTGATAATTGCCAAAAACCACTATGCATTCTTCGACTGCGCGTACCAAGGTTTCGCCAGTGGGGATTTGAATAACGATGCATGGGCGGTGAGGTACTTTGCTGATAAAGGAATTCCCATGCTTGTATGTCAGGTGAGCGTGGTGTATTGCATGAAGCTACAGCGCTCGTTTTTACATACCCCCCCTTTCTTTCAGAGCTTCGCGAAGAATGCAGGGTTGTACAGCCAGCGAATCGGGGCGCTCCACATTATTTCTCCGAGCAAGGAAACTGCTGATCGTGTGAAGAGCCAGCTCTCGGTAATACAGCGAAGTGAGATCAGCAACCCTCCCTCGTACGGAGCGCGGCTGGTGAGTAATTCTGGGCTTTCTAATGAAGCACGTTGTGATGAACGTGGGACCAGATGTCGCTGATCCTCAATAGTCCGGAGCTGTTCGAAGACTGGAACAGGGACATTAAGACGATGGCACACCGCATCATTGCTATGAGGGAGGAGCTGTATCGCCTGCTGACGGAGGAACTGAAGACGCCAGGTGACTGGGAACACATCACCAAACAGATTGGAATGTTCAGGTGAGTACGTACATGATGGGGGCGGTTGTGACATATGATTGATGCGGCAACAGTTTCACGGGAATCAACGCGGATCAATCGCAGGCGCTGATTGACAAAGCGCACATCTATCTGACGACGAATGGAAGGATATCGATGGCGGGACTAAACACGCATAACATCAGATACTTTGCAGAAAATTTGGACAAGGTGGTCCGGGGTGAACTGTAGGGTAGTGGACGAGTACGTTGATGTGATGATGAAGGGTGTGTGATGGAATGTTGATGGAAGCCAATAGAAGGGCAGTCTGTGACGTCAAGGTGTACCTTGTGGGCATATTACGGATGACATCACTGGATTTGTACACTATGCTAAATTTGGATTACCTGTCATTTTCCACCGCTGTGTCCAGTCGCGCCCATCCAAGTGACTGATCTCTCTCGGAACACCCTCTGCTTAACACATTACTGCCCTTTTCGTAACAGCCCCTTCCTCTCCGTGTCCCTCCGCCGACTCGAGTCCCATTACACTCCCTCGCCGTCGTCCACGTTCTCGACGTCTTCACGTCTTCACCGATCCCGATCTCTCTATTATCTCTCGCGACTCGTCCGACTGCCCTCGGTGCAGGTTTCATTTCACCAGCATCAGTAATGCGTCCGTTCCTCGCCCTATAACGGACTTCTGCCAAACTGATTAGTTCAACTTGCCACTCGCCTTGCGTCATCTACCACCTCGCTGATTCCCTTAGCAGCTGGTCGTCCTCGTGTTCCCCACACTTCTCCCCGTGGTATTCGTTTTCGAGGCCTTTTAAACGGCCTCCTCCAAAGTTCGTCTTTCCTTTTGTTTTCTCCTTTGATATCTTACACCATCATGGGTAATGTAGTGTCCTTAGTCGATATTCAACACAGCAGTCCTGCAACTGTGGAACCTACCTCAGACCCAAATCGTCCACCGTCCGCGTCCACCAGGACGAACGCCGCTCCTTCTCATATATCCCTGATCGCTCCGCAGGTGTTGAGCGCCTTTTTCCCATCCCCAAATCCTTCCCCTTCTCACCGAGATAACCCATTCGAATCTCCTCCTTCTTCCCCACCCCTCCCCTTCTTTACTGCGCCCTCTACACCCTTGACTTCTCCC